AACTTCCCAGACAGATCACTAAACTGATCACTCTTTGCCTTCCTCCTCTCACATGTCCCTGGATAAAGGATTTACTCACAAAACAATCCCAGACTCCCCATCTCTCCTCTGTCCACAAACTTAGCATCGGTTCCCCACATGGTTGTGTGTTCTACATCAATGGCGAGAGGGTGGAGAGGGTCCACACCTTCATGTTTCTTGGCATCCTCATCTCTGCCAACCAATACTGGACTGACAACATCACATCAGTCATCAAGAACACTCAGCAGTAGCTTCACTTAATGCGAGTCCTCAGGAAGCACAAACTAAACTCTAAGCTTCTGTTGACCTTCTACCGCTTATCCATCAAGAGCCTGCTGACAAGTAGCATCACAGCAGCTTTACTGTTACAGACAGGATGAGGCTCCAGAGGATTGCAAAGGCAGCTCAGAGGATCGTTGGATGTCCTCTCCCCTCTACGGTGGACATTTACACAGAAAAAAAGCACAATTATCAAAAACATACATTTCTAAATTAATCCAGTTCAAGTAGAATGAGTTACGGGGTTTTTCAACCACAAATTCCAAGTAACTTGCTAAAAGTGCGTGTTGATAGCAATTTGATAAAAGCTGATTTAGATCGATTTACGATTTTCAGTTCGACACCATGTTTGATTTACGGTGCATAGGAGACATTGGATGCGTTGTATCCATCTTCTTCTGCTTATCTGAGGTCGGGTCGCGGTGGTAGGAGCCTAAGAAGGGAGGCCCAGACTTCCCTCTCCCCAGCCACTTGTTCCAGCTCCTCCAAGCGAATCCCAAGGCATTCCCAGACCAGCCAAGAAACATAGTCCCTCCAGCATGTCCTATGTCTTCCCTGGGGCCTCCTCCCGGTGGGACGTGCCTGGAACACTTCACCAGGGAGGCATCCAGGAGGCATCCTAACCAGATGCCCGAGCCACCTCAACTAGCTCATCTCAACATGAAGTAGCAGCAGCTCTACTCTGAGTCCCTCCTGGATGACATCTCACCCCATCTCTAAGGGAGAGCCCAGACACCCTACGGAGAAAATCCATTTCTGCTGCTTGTATCTGTGACCTCGTTCTTTCGGTATGCATCCGATAAGTGGTAAATGGCCTTTCCCTTTTTGAATCCTCTGTGGGGTACCAACCTCCACTCATCCCTTCTGATGAGCCACCTCCACTAGCATGCAGTGGTGGTGGTACCCCACTGCATGCGAGGGGGTGGGGGAGTTCAGCCCTGAACTGCATTGGAGTCCAGAACTGCTGTTTTGCAAACAGGGGGTGATATCTGAATCCATGAGAAGCTCTTTTACAACAGCAGGATTACAAAATCCAGGGTAATTGATAAGGCCAGCCTTGACATAGCACCTGGCTTTATCTGTTTCACTAAGACCAAACCAGGCTCATCAGCTGCGACTGTTGACTAAATTACTAAATTACTAAAGTAATTCAGATTTCTTCAAGAGACCATGAACATCAGATTTATTGATGTTATGCCAGATAAATTGCATCATATCTCACACATCAAACAAGAAACATATTTTGATGAATGACAATGAGGAATTGAACCATTTTATATTAAAGAAAGAAGACTGCCACTATAATAGCAAATAGCAGATCGACTGAATGTGTAATTAGCCCAACATATAATATATAAACCATTTCTAACTAAAAAATGGCATTTTGTTCTTTCATTTGTTTGTTTCTTTATCAACCTTTTATCTAATCCCCTCAACACATGCAATTGTCTGTTAAATTCCTGTCAAATCTAGAACAGTGGTTTTCAGAAACACAAATTAACAATAACATAGTGCACATATATCATTCTAAAATTGATAATGGTGTTTTCTACAATCCTAATGTTAAAATAATATCAGTACTTAGTTGAATACCAAAATGAATTTGTAATATTTCATGCAGGTTGATTAAGAAGACCAAAACAGAAAAAGGAATCACGGGCAACACATGATTTATGATCAGTGTGACTGCTGATTGAACAGAAAAGGTACTATTCTTAACTTAGCGGTCTTGTGTAGGCCAGCTGCACAGGATAAATGTGTAGAAATTTCAGGCATGATGGTTTGTGATCTCTGGACATTTTGATGCAGGTCACCAAGGGCGTAGGAACGAGTCTGTCATTGGAAACCTGACAGATCCATAAATAGCTTGAGCAGTAATGTCAAAGAATTGTGCCATAAACACATCAGTAATACGTTACTCCTAATATGGCCCCTTGTTTCAGTAACAAGCATTCTAACGCGTAACTATTTACAATCCAATAATCAGATTAAAGTCATGCATCATTCCATGCATCATAATGACTGTCATTCCAGGACTGAACACTCACTTCACAGGGTTTCCCCCAGAAAACTTTCTAAGCCCGGTGGTCGGGCCGCTGAGGCGGTCCACCGTGTTTTTGTATTATAGTAGACAGGAAATGTAAAATTATTACTAATTATATGTTATGGGAAAACATCACCAGTGAAACTCTATTTAAACCCACAACCAGTCTTAAAAACAATTTTAAAAATACAATTAAAATGAATGTTAATTATTTGCACTTCTGTTTAATCCAATTTATGTCAGCGGCTTCATAAGGCCCCAGGGCTTCAGGAGCCCATAATGCTAATATTTTAACACAGACTACAGTTATATAAATGTAACATTTGTTTGAGATTATCAATGCTGCTGAATTTGATTTAATGATTTCAGCATACATAAATTAAAATATTTTAAATTGATTAATATTTACATGTAAGATTTTATGGAGCTGGCAAGTTTACTTTGTAGAAGTTGAAAGAACAATATTCATAGTTAGATTGTTTTGTTACCACAGCAACAATCTGATGCTGTGAGTTTAATCTTTGAGTTTGAGCTCTGTTTGTTCACCTATACAAATGAATAAACTGCAATTATAACTTATTGCTTTTTAGGTTGGCCAGTTAAACTACTCCCTTCTCCCAGATTAAATCTAACACAGAAGCTGTTAGAGATGCTGATGGTTTTAGCATGAAGAGTGGCCCCTAAGTCAAACTCTGCTCAAGGCCTCATACAGCCTTGGACCGGCCCTGCATGATGAGTTAAATCCACTGCACTGCATGCAGAGATGCACAACAAATGGGGGATTTAATGTATTGCTGCTAATGTGGTTTCAGTAGCTCTTCCATTTCGTGTCTGTTGAATTTTTAATAAGGGCCACAGAAACTGTTTTGGTTGCTCGAGTTTATGGAATGAGTTATTCAGAATGAGTAATTTCAGATATTGCTCATTAACTCTGGCTATGTGGACAAAGCATCTGATATGGATTTGTGCAACAATAATGCTAAAAAAAAATAAAACAATATAAACCCAGAGTGATGCGTGACTACGACACGAGCGCAAAAACTCCTCAGCAGGGTGAACCTGCATGTTGAGTGGTTGGCTCTAGTTCATTAACCACTAATGCTCTGGCCAACCGGGAACATATACATCAACTTTACAGGGAAGACAGAGCCACACGCTAGGCAGCATGTTGAGCTGTAAACACCCCACATAATTGTTTGTTCACAAATACAAATCCTTCTCACTGCTCCTTCAACACACACTTCTGAGCTGTGAGGACTGGACACAGACTCGGGTGGACTACAACAATGACAAGTGATGATAAGGATCCCACAGGGAAACACAGACACATGTGAGTATAAATACACAACAGAACTAATCAAGGGAACAAGGGGCAGGTGGGACTACTCAGGGACTCGACAAGACAATACGGGGACAGCATTAACTTAATAATCATACAAAAATCCAGATCTTTACAATGTTTATGTTTGTGTATTTGGTCTTCTTTTTTTCCTTTTACCAGGTAAACCCCTTTGAGATCCAGATCTCATTTTCAAGAGGGACCTGGGCTTATATTTTGACCTTATTGGTTTTTTATTCTGCTGTCTTTGCCAAGTCACTCTGTTTTGATCTCAAAATGTCCTGTTTAAATAAAAATGTAATACATCTTAAGTTGCTAAATGTCAGCGAATAAAGAGCTGGAACTATCTGAACGTATCAACAATAATCTTCCCGTAGATAATGCACAAGGAAGCAGTAAATCCACTAAACACAATGAAATTATCTAAAATAAATTCACTCTTTTGAAATTTTGGCACATCTTTTTCTCCTATTTCCTATGTCACAAATTGTACATTTTTCTCTATTTTAGCAACATACTTGGAACATAACATGTACTGTGATCGTAGAACAAAATACTTCACAAAGGTCAATATTTTCACAGGTGTCAAGACTGTTAAAGACTATCACCATCAAACAGCATTGATGATGGTTAGCTGTTAAAAAACGTGCTGTCAACTTCTAATTTGGAATTTTTTGTCACTCTCACTTGGTGACTTCTGTTAACTTTTAGACAGCTTCAAAGTTAGAAATTTGGGAATTTAGACTGAATAATTCAGTTTCTAGCTCTCACATAAGTTCAACAATAGACAGTAGAACTGAACAAAGATGTTGCAATCCACAACATCCAGTATAAAAAAAACCTGTTAATCCAAAGTATTATTGCTAAAGTGGTTGTTTTATTGAAATAATTCATTGTGCATTTATTTTATAAATTAATAACAGGAAGTTGTATCAAAATTAATGTTCTGTACTTTTTATCCAGAAACAATGATTGACATAGAAATACGATAAATCATATTCAACCATGTTCAATCATGTTCAAACTCAATCATATTGCTATGATTCAACATAGAAACATTTTACTGTTCTGTGTACTGTGAATAAAAACCAATATACTGCTCAAAAAAATAAAGGGAACATTTCACTTTAATTTTGTGTGGCTCCAAATCCAGGCCTCCATTGGTTAATAAATTTGATTTCCATTGATGATTTTTGTGTGATTTTGTTGTCAGCACATTCAACTTTGTACAGAACAAAGTATTCAATGAGAATATTTCATTCATTTAGATCTAGGATGTGTTATTTGAGTGTTCCCTTTATTTTTTGAGCAGTGTATATGTATATATGTTTCTGCATTTTTTCCATTTCACCTTACTTACAAAGTTCCTGTGTATCCTGGTGAACAATTGCATTCTCCAGTCACATGATGACAGATGGCCCCATTCTGGCATTGACATGTCCATTGACACCCATTCCCATAAGAACCAGTTTCACATTGGGCCTCACAGCGCCAGCCTCTGTATCCAGGAGTGCAGATACAGGATCCAGTAATAGGGTTACATAGTGCTCCATTCTTACATTGACATCTATTGCTGCAGTGGGGGCCCCAGTGGTCACTGTCACAAGCTGCGGAGAAGATAAAAATAAGCAGGATTTAGGCCTTCCTCTAATATGTATGTGCTGTCTGTGCATTAACATCTCTAATTTGCTGCCAATTGTCAAGAGGAACAAAAAGACAACTTAAGAAATTATGAATGTTTCTTAAAGTTGTAACAAATCTTAGTATAAAACTAGAAATGTACACGCACAAGAGAGTTCTTTGACTTGTTTTTTATACAAATTTAGAAATAAGTATGATCACTGCTTTCCCTAATCAAAGCTAGAAAAATGATTTGATTGAAATAAAAAGAAGGATGGGACACGTCAGCTCACTGATGCGGCTAAGAGTTGCCCACTACGTTTAATAACCAATCATCTGTTTCCTGGAATTGTCACACAGTGGAAATTTGTTTTTACTTTTTAAGTGTGGTTTTTATTGAGTGTTTTCGCTGCATGTTTTGTTTTTTTTTATTCACTGTGGACTCCGAGAACTAATAGCTGATTCCAGTCACCTGCGCGGGGTGGGCGTGCCCGTAGGCAGCATACCTGGAACCTGCAAGACGCTGGCAGTGGCTTTTAAAAAGCAGAGGACTTCACGTTGAGAAGAGAAGAAAAAGGGCAGTCCAGGAAGGTTCGTGACGGAAGACTGCGACCCCGAACGAGCCAGTAGTTGGCAGCAGAGGATACAATCAGTAGGAACGACGTGTCGGACCGTCAGCGGGCAGAGGGGGAACTCTGCCCTGGTCAGTAAGTAACGTTTCCACTGATTGTCTTCAGGGACCCTTGCTGGGACAGATAAAACATCCGCTGTTCAGCGATCGCTCTCCTGGCCAGGTGTTTTTGTCCTAACAGGACGCCAGCGGGCGGCGCTTTACGCGGAGCAACTAGAGTGGCTGGAACGACCACAGGAGGCGGTGGCGCTGGGGCTGTGACTACAGGCTGGACGGAGCGCAGGATTCGCCGTCCTCATTGGATTTTGTGGATGTTGGCCCTCTTGGACGATTTTAGTTTGTTCCGATTTGGAAATTTTAATATTTTTATTGTTATTTTACACAAAAAAGAAAACGGAGCATTTTATTCCGTTGGGGAATAAAAAAAAAAAGCTAACTAACTGAATTGTCCTCCCTTGGTGTTGTGTTACTGTTTCCCTCCTTGTTGTCTGAGAACCCGGGGCTATCAGCTGACGTTAAGCTGGGCTCCGACAGAATCATGGTATTATATCAGTCACTCTCGAACTGTTTACAATTATGCAACCCTACATTCAAATCTATAGCCCAGCCTATGAGTCAAAACAAAAAAAAATTCATCAATAATAGTCCATCGAAAAGTCCATAATTGGGCGATCAAAAATAAAGTTCCGTCCTCGCAAAAAACAACGTTGGGGCCCAAACAATGTATCAGTCTTTGTGCACACAAAAAAACAATAAAAAAAAACATGGAAGGGTCTCACCGGGACAGCGTCTGTGTACCCGGGCGGTTCCCTTTGTCAGGCCTGGAACGTGAGCGCATCGGGTCTGGTCCTCGCCCCGTGTGGCTTTATCTTGCCTCCAGAAGACTTTTGATTCCTTCAGTAGTTGATCTGGCAACGCATTTATTCCAACAATCAGGTATCTCCAGGCTAATCTTTCGAGCTCCCCGGTCCGTCACTCGGCGTCCTTTTCCAGCGTGCTGCCACACCCACTTCTCTCTCTAATCCAGTATCCCTTGTTCCTTTTATCAGTTCCGGTAAAAGTTGTGACCCAGATATTTTTTTACTTCGTGGACTTTCACAAATAAAATACATACATACAAGACATCCTTGCATACATATCAATACAACAAAAATTTATGTGCATTTCATTAACCCATGCTTTATTCTCGGAGTTTTTTTTTCTTTTTTTTTTTTTTCCGCTTAAGATACTTTATTTTATTGTGATGTCACAGATCTCCCCCCCACCCCCTGCCGGAGGCACCTGGACCTGAACTCCATAATAGGGTTTTAAGTTCACCACATTTACTGTATCTGTTTTTCTATTCTGGTCTGTCCACTGTATCTGGTAATTCACAGGACCCAGTTGCTTCCTCATTACGGCTGGACCTGACCATTTAGGCGCTAACTTAGAGGAAAACTTATCAGTAGCTTTGGAGAGGGGGTGAGACCGAACCCAGACTAAGTCTCCCGGAAAGAGCTGTACACTTCTCCTACGGGCATTATAATACTTAGCTTGTCTGACCTGGCTCAACCCTATCTTCCGCTTAATCTGTTCAGTTATTTCTTTATGTCTGTCCAGAAGTTTATAGGGCATCTGTTGAGGGCTAGGAGAGTGGCCAATGATTCTCTCCAGTGGACCTTTGAGAGGCCGACCCAGAGTGAGCTCTGCAGGAGACCTTCCAGTTGTCTCATGCTGAGCGGCATTGATGGCAAATCTAAACTCTTGGATCCATTGGTCCCAGTTGGAATGGTGTTCTCCCACAAAAGAGGCTATCATGGTCTTTATTGTTCGGTTTGACCTTTCAGTGAGATTGGCTTGGGGATGATAACTTGTAGTAAACTTTTGAATCACCCCCTATGTGCGACAGAACTTTTCCATCTCATGGCATGTAAACTGAGGGTCACAATCTGATACTAGCTCTTGAGGGACACCAAAGCGGGTAAATATTTCATTCTTCAAGATGCTGGTAATTTTCTGAGCTTTGCTGTCTTTGAGAGGAAACACCTCTATCCACTTGGTAAAATAGTCAATGATTACCAGCAGGTATTTATTTCCATTCTTCCTGCGAGGTAGAGGACCCATCAGGTCAACACCGATCTTCTCCCATGCTTTGATTACTGGGGTAGGCTGCATGAGCCCTGCAGGCTTTTTGTTGTCAGGTTTATATTTTTGGCAGGTGACACAGGCTTTAATGTAGGCCCAGACATCTTTTCTGACTGAGGGCCACCAGGCTACTTCCAGTATCCTTAACAGGGTTTTTAATTTCCCTAGGTGCCCGCTTAGAGGATGATCATGGAAGCAGCTGAGAAACTGGATTATTATAGACTTGGGCACGACCAGCTGAAACTTTTCACCTTGGTTCTTGACACAGGACTTCCTGTACCAGACAGAACCCTATTCTGTTGGGGTCTTTATCAGCAGACGTCTGGACCATGTCAAGGAGAGCAGAATCCTTCTCTTGTGCCAGTTTGATTTCGGCCAATGATGAAGGTAACTCTGACTCAGATTTGGACATGACTGCTACAACGTACGTCATGTCGGTTTTCCGCACTGCTCTTGACTATGCGTCTGGTACCAAATTATGTAACCCTTTTCTGTATCGAACGTTGAAATGGTATTCTTGCAGCCGAAGCACCCACCGGGTCAAACGAGAGGATGCCTTTGGACAATTAAAGGCCCAAGTCAACGCTGCATGGTCAGTAAATAGTGTGAACTCAGATCCATCTATGAAATGCCTCCACTTTTCAACTGCCCACACCACAGCTAAGCACTCTTTCTCCCTCAGAGATCAGACACATAGGCAATGACCCGCTCGCCTTCAGGTGTCATTTGCACAAGTACTGCGCCAAGACCTACATCACTGGCATCTGTGTGTATCTCAAACGCCCGTTGGAAGTCAGGTTGCATAAGTATAGGGGCCTCCACCAGGGCCCGTTTTAACTTTTCAAAGGCCTGCTGGCAGTCTGGACACCAGTCCCATTTGCTGTCTTTTTTAAGAAGATGGTATAAGAATCGCTGAACCGATTTCTTATCTGCCGGTTTGGGGTAGTTTGTGATGGCCAAGCTTTTACTTTCATCTACTTGCACCCCCTTCCCAGACACTACGTGACCCAAAAATTTGAGTTCTGATTGAAAAAAGTTGCATTTTCCCAGATTGAGGGTCAAATTTGCCTGGTGTAATTTGGTAAAAACTGCTTCCAGATCTTTCATATGTTATTCAGGTGAGGGAGAGAAAATTTTCACATCATCGATGTAGACAAAACAAATTTTTCCTCTCAACTCTCCAAGCACTCGTTCCATGAGTCTCTGAAATGAGGCACCAGCATTTTTCAGTCCAAAAGGCATATATTTAAACTGATACAGCCCAAAAGGTGTTATTACAGCTGTCTTGGCTTTACTTTGTTCAGTCACTGCCATTTGCCAGTACCCCGATTTCAAGTCCAATGTGCTAAAAACTGAAGCTCCATTCATGGATTCCAGTAACTCATGAATCAGAGGCATGGGATAAGCATCTTGGCGAGTTTTGGCATTTAAGGCCCTGTAATCCACACAAAACCTAAATGACTTGTCTGGTTTTGGGACGAGGACCACAGGAGATGCCCAAGAAGATTGAGAGGGCTCGATGATGCCATCTTGAAGCATTTTTTCAATATGCTCTTTGATTATCTGCCGTTTAAACAGTGACACCATGTAGGCTCTAGATCGAACTGGTATCTCATCTGTCGTGTAAATGTGATGCACTTCCAGGGATGTCTTACCCAAAGTATCAGTGCACACTGTTGGCCAGGCTTGAAGGAGTTGAGTAACTTCAGGGGTTTGGTTCAAATCCGCTGGTCCTCTCTTCGCTGGAAAGTCATCCGTGTCCTTAATGGGCAGAGCCATGATCAGACTCAGAGAAGATGAACTAGGACACCCAGCGGAATTGCTCGGTGGTGGAGAAAGCTGCGGATCATCAGCTTCCTCAGGGGGGCATAAGAGGAGTTGGCTGCCAGCACTTTGATGCCAGAATGTTAAACTTCACGGTAACTTCTAGCCTCCTGAGACTAGGGTTCCTATTTGGGTGTTAAATGTTGCATCCCATATGTAAATAACTTTGTTGATGCATGTATGATTTTTTGTTTGTTTTGTTGTTTGATGATTTGATTTAAAGAGGGTTTTGGGGGGTTAAGGTTGCTAGGCGATCTACCCGGGCTTTTAGCGGTAACTGTCTGTTGGCTGTTTTGGAGATAGTGCAGAGGGCGAGCATACGAGTCACGGTTGAGTGGAGATAACTAAGAAATAGTTCAACTTAGGGTCCAGGCAATCAATTAACTAGCGCTTGGTTGATGAGGGAGCAAGGTGGGTGTTTTGACGAGAGTATTGTATTTGTTGAACATGATGTTTATGTTTCAATATGAAATGGTGTTAATATTTGATTAACTGTCGAACAGTTGAAACAGTTAGAATACATTTTAGTTAATTTGCAATATATAAATGTTAGTTAATTAAATACATGTATTGTAAATGTAATGTTATTACATAAAGTAAGTCTTATAGGTTAAGGTAAACGGTTAGAACCACTAAGAATTACTAATGGTGTTTTATTTGTATGTTATAGCTCTTACGGTATTCATGTATAAAGGCTGTTAAGTAAAGAAACATGAACCATCAGTTAAAGAGACCATCTTTTCAACCGGGATGCTACAGTGAGAGCTTGATCCTCCAGGAGTAACAGCTTCATCTCTGGGAGAAGTAAGAGCTGGACCCAAGTTGAGAAGAGCTTCACCCTGAGCTAAGAAGAAGTTCAACCCACTCTCAGCATCAAGCATGGAAACATCTAAACAAGAAATAAAGTACACCAAGGACCTACAAGTCAACGAAGAAGAGGAGCCTCAAAGCTCTGTTCATCAAAGGAGGCCTACAGAAAAAATGCGAGCGTATCAGGAGGAGGAAGACCGCAAAAAGGAAAAACGTCTTCTCAAAGTTTATGATCAATGGAAAAGGCAAGTACGTACAACAAGAGAACAATTGAAAGGAGACATAAACAGTCAAATTGCTTCACTCATGGACACCTTAGAAAGGGAAAGAGATAATGTCAAAGTTATACACAGAAATAAGGGAAATCATTACTCCTTGTAGTGACACAAGGCGACTTATAGATGCATGCGAAGCAGTCACCAATGACATTATCAGAGTTGCATATGAAAGACTCTCAGGTATAGATGACTATGAGAGTGGGAAAGTGGAGGCACGTCTACGTGAACTTCTTGATCCAGACTATGCTCAATCCATTTACAGTTCTTCCATCACATTTACTCAAGTAAATGCTCAGCTGCCAGTAATTCAAACTCTACAAGGTCAGTAATAGCTGTAAAGAGAGCAGAGGCTGCAGCAGAGTTAGCTGCCAAGGAGGCAGAGTATGAAGTGTTATTCGAAGAAGAAAAACAAAGAGAATGGATTCAACTTTTGGAGGAAAGACATGGAAAGGAATTAGAATCTCAAAAACGTGAGTTACAGAGATTAAAGGCTGAAAAGGAGTTAAAGGCTGCACGAGCTAGATTAATAACCTATGACCAGGAGATAAAGAGCGAGAGCAGTGTTCATGTTGACTGTACCAGAGCAGCTCAAAAGGCTTCTATAGTTTCTGCTCCCATTCAGGTCCCTAACGGCAACATTGTGTCCACCCCACCTCTACAAGCAGATGTCCTTTATTTGGCCCAAGCATTACAGGACAGTGTCGCCATGAACAGACTGCCAATGCCCGAGCCCTCCACGTTCACAGGCAATCCAATGGAGCTCATTGAGTGGAAAGCTTCATTTGCTGCACTCATTGATAAAAAGAACATATCACCTGCAGACAAGCTACACTACTTAAAGAAATATGTAGGGGGTTCAGCTCGACAAATGCTTGATGGCATCTTCTACAGAAATGACAGTGATGCCTATCAGGATGCGTGGGAACACCTCAATCAAAGGTATGGACATCCATTTATTGTACAGAAAGCGTACAGAGAAAGACTAGCAAAATGGCCAAAGATACAAACAAATGACTCAATAGGATTTAGAGCATTTGCTGATTTCATTCAAACATGTTATGAAGCTATGCCACACATAGAAGGTTTAAGCATTCTCAACGATTGTGAAGAAAACCAAAAACTTGTTCAAAAATTACCGAACTGGGCAGCTGCAAGGTGGAATCGTCAGGCTACTCAGTACATGAAAGAAAATGGGAAGTTTCCAAGTTTAAGGCACTTTACTGAATTCACATGTCCACTGAAGCTGAGATTGTGTGCAATCCAATTATGTCATTTCAGGCTCTTCACTCAACAGATTTCACCAAAATAACCAGCAAAGTTAACCAAAAAGAAAAAAGGCCCACCTCCAGTGTTCTCCATATGCAAGTGGTAACAGAAACGGAAGGCACAAAACAAAGGTCAAATGTTAAACCAACATGCATGCTCTGTCAAGACAACGGACACAAACTTCACAGTTGCCCTAAGTTCAAAGACAAACCACTCGAGGAACGGAGGAAATACATAAAAGACAAAAGACTTTGTTATGGGTGTCTTAAACCCGGACACAGCGCAAAGGACTGTCGTTACAGATATGTATGTGAAATATGCAAGAAAAAACCCTACCTGTCTGCATGACAACGACAAATCACAGACAAGCCAATTTCAAATGAGCACGGAACAGACTGCAACAACCCTGTCTCTCAATGCAAGAACCAATGAACAATGTATAAACACCTCTATGATTGTACCAGTATGGGTTTCTTCAGAGCAACAACCAAGTAAAGAAAGGCTTGTTTATGCACTCTTGGACACCCAAAGTGATACAGTGTTCATTGACCGTGATGTGTCTAACGGTCTCAAAGCTAAAGCAACCCCAATAAGGTTAAAACTTACTACAATGCTTGGTAAGGATGCAGTTGTGCCAAGCGAGCGTGTCTAAGGTCTCAAGGTGAGAGGATACAACTCTTCAGACATAATTGAACTCCCTCCTGCTTACACTAAAGACTGTATACCAGTTAACCGCTCTCACATTCCTTCCTGTGAAACGGCAAGGCAATGGGATCATCTCAAGGTAATAGTGAATGAGATCCCCCCACAGCTAGAATGTGAAGTTGGGCTGTTAATTGGCTACAACTGTTCCAAGGCATTAGCTCCAAGGCAGGTCATCTTAGGAGAAGAAGGTGAACCCTATGCTATACTCCAGTATTGTAGGCCCTATATCATCTCAGAGTGACTCTTTTAGCATAGTGACTCTTTTAGCATATCTGCTGTGTGCCACAGAGCCACAATCAAAGAGCTTCCTTTAATAACTCCTGCTGACGCACTCAAGGTTCTCGAGTCTGACTTTAAAGATGATAACAAGGATAACAAATCAGTGTCTCAAGATGACATTCTCTTTCTGAATATGCTAGAGCAAAACATTTATAAAAACTATGAAGGACATTATGAAATGCCACTTCCATTTAAGGAAAGACCTCTGTTACCAGACAATAAAAAAATGGCCATGGTACGACTTCAAAGCCTCAAAAACAAACTGTCAAAAGACCAAAGATACAAGGAACATTATGTAAAGTTTATGGACGAAGTCATAGAGAAGGGTGAGGCAGAGGAAGTTCACAATGAAGCAAAAGAAGGAGAAAAGTGGTATATTCCTCACCACGGAATATATCATCCTCAAAAACCAGACAAACTCAGAGTAGTCTTTGACGCCTCATCTAAATACAAAGGAAACAGTCTCAATGATCATTTAATGTCAGGCCCAGATTTGCTGAACAATCTAATTGGTGTTCTAATGAGATTCCGATGACATCAAGTTGCATTACTATGCGACATTGAAAAAATGTTCCATCAATTTCATGTACACGAAGCAGATAGAGACTACTTAAGATTTTTATGGTGGAAAAATGGCAACTTAGACACAGAACCCCAAGAGTTTCGAATGAAGGTACATCTCTTCGGAGCCTCATCTTCTCCAGGATGTGCAAATTATGGACTAAAACATCATGCAAATGAAAACAAGACCCAGTTTCCCCTTGCATCTCAGTTCATAATGAAAGATTTCTATGTGGATGATGGTGTAACAAGTACGACAAGCATCAAGGAAGCTATTAAGCTCATCCAGGAAATTCAGACACTTTGTGCTTCAGGTGGCCTCAGACTCCACAAGTTTGTAAGTAATGACAAAACAGTGTTAGAAAGCATTCCACCATCTGAACGTGCCTCTCCACAACAAGCATGTGACCTAGCGTTTAATGACTCTAAACTTGAAAGAGCGCTAGGTATTCACTGGCACATTGACTTTAACACTTTACGGTTTCACTTTCGCCCCAACAACCAACCTGATACAAGGCGTGGCATTCTATCTATAGTTGCATCTTTGTACGACCCGTTAGGATTCATCTCCCCCTTTGTGCTCACAGGTAAAAGAGTGCTTCAAGAGACATGCAAACAAGGTACAAGCTGGGACGATCCCCTTCCCAGTGAACAAAAACCAATGTGGAATAAATGGAAGGATGACTTAAAGAACCTGGAGAAAATAACAATACCACGCTGTTATGTTCCTAAAGACTTTGGGCAAATAGTAAAAACAGAGCTGCATCACTTTTCTGATGCCAGTTCATATGGTTATGGCCAGTGTTCGTATTTAAGATATACAAACAAAGATGCTAAGGTGCATTGTGTTTTGGTTACAGCAAAGACCAGAGTTGCTCCTATTAAAGTAACAACAATACCCAGACTCAAACTGATGGCCGCTGTGATCTCCATTACTGCGAGCAACGTATTAAAGGATGAGCTTGGATTGATGAATGTTCACATCACAGATTGATGAATGTTTCTGGACAGACTCTAAAGTAGTTTTGGGCTACATCAATAATGAGGCACGCCGTTTTCATACCTTTGTTTCAAATCGAGTTTAAAGGATAAGGCTCAACAGCACACCTCAGCAGTGGAGATATGTCTCTTCTGAACAAAACCCAGCAGATATTGCCTCCCGAGGCTCAAGTGCAAGTGAGCTCATTTCATCTGACTGGTTCAAAGGGCCACAGTTTCTGTGGGACAAAGAAATTCCTCCATCTGCAAAGATAGATGTAAACTTGCCACTTGGAGATCCAGAAGTTAAAAAGGCACAAGCACTGAGCACCTTCAAAACAGAAAAAAGGGGTTTGGCAGACATGTTAAAGTTTTCTTCTTGGTTCAAAGCCACCCAAGCCATTGATAGACTGATTCGTTGTGCCAAAGGAGATAAAACAATGAGTCATAGCACAGCACAAGAAAGGCAAAACGCTCAAAGTGTTATTCTAAAGGACATACAAGTAAAGGAATACGCAAAGGAAATAAGGATGCTGAAACATGGAAAGGCTCTTCCTCATAAAAACAAACTGTTTCAAATGGACACTTTTCTTGATAGTGATGGACTCCTTAAGGTGGGAGGAAGGTTAAAGGATGCTTCTTTCTCTTCCTCACTGAAACATCCAATAGTAGTTATACTGCCTTCGCCATATGAAATGCAACTAGACAGTACAGCTAAACTCTTCCTTATATCAAGACTCTGAGGAAAGTTGACCTTTTATCCACAGGTTTATTGACTCCAAGGAAGTGTGAAACTAAAATACAAGCAAAAAGGAATACATCACTTTCACCGTCTTTGTAAACATGTACATATAAGTTTAACGTAGCTAAATTAAATACTGTCCCAAATGAATTAGGAAAGTTGTGCAAACTTACAATAAACATCCAAAAATATTTACATCCATTTCAACAACCAGAAATAATATAAAAACAATGATGCACAACAATATATTAAACTCAACATACCTACAATGCTTCGTCAGGGCAAAGATGAATGCAGATGGAACTGGATTGATTGAACACACGGGTGACATGAATCTTAACTCTGTCTGGCTTTCTCTTTTTTGTCAGCAGCTGAAGGTGACCGTTTGGTGTACAATCTTGGAATCGGAAGTTGAGAAAATTCGGTCAAAGAAGCTCTCCATGCAATCCAGGTTTCCTCCCTTTCCTTTGGTAGAGGGATGTCCCAATCTCCACTACCTGCCGTGAGCTCTCTTAAGATTGCCTTGCCTTGGATGGTGATTGGTGCCGCGAAACCAAGAGGGTCATACAGACTGTTGATTGTAGATAAGATGCCACGTCGAGTGTATGGCTTTATCTCCTTTGAGACACTAAAGTGAAAACAGTCAGTCTGGAGGTTCCAGCAGAGTCCAAGACTGCGTTGCATTGGAAGCTGATCGACGTCAAGATCTAGCTCTTTCAAATCACTTGCCCGATCAGATGGTGGAAAAGCCTCCATGACTTCCTTGCTGTTAGCAGCGATCTTGTGCAGTCTCAGGTTTGACTTTGAGAGAACATCTTGTGTTCTTTTGAGCAAGCTGATGGCAGCCTCAGTTGTGGGTAGAGACTTCAGCCCGTCGTCCACATAAAAATCATGCATCACGAAATGCTGAACATCACTGTCGACATGAAACTCACCACCTTGAACAGACTGATGCAGACCATTGATGGCCACTGCGGGAGATGGTCTATTGCCAAAGACATGGACTCTCATACGATACTCAACGATGTCTTTGGAGAGGTCATTGTCTTCAAACCAAAGGAAACGTAAAAAGTTCCTGTCCTCCTGTTTAACTAGAAAGCAGTAGAACATCTGCTCGATGTCTGCTGTGAAGGCGATTGCTTCTTTGAAGCGAATCAGGACTCCGAGTAGTGTATTGTTCAAGTCAGGTCCAGTTAACAGCACATCATTGAGGGATATGCCATTGAACTGGGAACTCGAATCGAAGACAACTCAAATTTGTTTTGGCTTTCTTGGGTGGTAAACACCAAATATGGACAAGTACCACCTTTCTTCGTCTTCACTGAGTGGAGGAGCTAACTCAGCATGGTTATTCTTGAACATTTTGTCCATGAAGCTCAGGAAGTGCTCTCTTATTTCAGGCTTCTTGTCAAGGTTGCGTCTGAGAGATGTGAGACACTTCAGCGCATGAGACCTATTATTGGGAAGCCGTGGGCGTGGATGTTTAAAAGGCAATGGCGCTATCCAACTATTGGTTGGGTCTTTGCAAAGTCCTTCCTGCATTATCTTCATGAAGTACCCATCCTGAATCGAAGGTGCTACTTGGTTGTCATCTTTGGTTCTCTGAAACACTGAGCATCCTAGATGGTCAGCTACACAAACAGATGACTCCTCTGAGCATACTGGAATGCGTTCGTTGACTGGAAATCCACCATATGTTTCCTTAACATGAAACACATTTGGACATGGTTGGAAAAGTGTTGGACGTCCAATATCAGAAGCAGTGGTGAAGAAGGTACAAACTGTTGGTGGTTTATGCACGTTGCCCAGGCATACGTTGCCCACTGTCACCCACCCCAAATCCAGCTTCTGTGCGTAGGGCAGGTTGTGTGTGCCGTTCACCTGTTTGTGGACTTTGTGAACACGTAGAATGTCACGGCCCAGAAGAAGCATGATTGGTGCTTTTGGATCGACCTCTGGAATCAGGTGCGCCAGTGACTTAAGATGAGGATGGTGGAGTGCTACATCAGGAGTTGGAATCTCGTCTCTGTTGTTTGGAAACACTCTATAAGACTTGGTAATGGAAGACGGACAGTTCCATCCAGAGATTCCACTTCGTAGCCGGTAGCTCTTCTTCCTGATACTTGCTTCACTCCAGCACATGTTCTCAAGGTGTAAGGAGAACTTGAACTTGTGTCACTGAAGACCTTAAAGAACTGTGAGGTAACTAATGAATGGTTGCTTTGTTCGTCTAAGATGGCGTAGACTCTCATAGCCTTGTCCCTAGACCCAGATGGATAAACCTTTACTAGGCTTATTTTAGAGCATGATTTCTCAGCAAGATCTCCACCACAAACTTGAGTGCACTGGGCATTGACCTCTGATTGAACAGGGGTTTCAACCTCCCCGCCGTGCCTTGATGGAGGATCTACTTCTGCTGCCCAAGGTGGTGGCCCAGGGGATGCCTTTCGCTGTTGCCTTCTGTGCACAGGATTTTAGCTGTGCAGTTTTTTGCGACATGCAGTGTGGAGGAGCAACATTTAAAGCAAACATGATTCTCCTTCAAGAAGTTCTTATGATCTTCAATGGTCTTCTCCCTAAATGCTCGACATTTGCGCAGAGGATGTGGCTTTTTATGCAGAAGACACATTTTGTTACAATCGTCAGATTTTGAAAAGAGCTCGTTTGCATTTGAGGTAACTTCGGTTTTGTGAGTAGAAACCTCTCTGTGTCTGTTCAACTTCCAAGCTGTCCGCTCAGCCTTTGGAGCAACCTCCTCTTGAGTGTTGATATTGAAACTTGGGTCGTTCCTAATGCTTGCTTCTTGACTGATGAAATCCACGAAGTAACCAAATGGTGGATATGGGACCTGATATCTTTGCTTGTACAATGAACCTACTGATGTCCATTTTTCCTGTAGGTTAAATGGCAGCTTTCGCAGGATCGGATTGATGCCTCTTGCCGTGTCAAGGAAGGTGAGTCCAGGTAAGTCTCCTTCGTCCTTAGCTGCCAAGAGTTCACTTAGTAAATCACTCAACTTGATTAACTTGGAAAAATCTTGGTTCGTTATTTTGGGAAACGTCTCAATTCGTTTGAAGAGGGCATCTTTTATAATTTCCGCAGAACCATATGTTTGGTCAAGCCGGTTCCAAATCATAGCCAGTCCTGCATCTGGGCGGTTTATGTGGATTGCTCTAATTTGTTCTACATGTTCGGCTGAATCTTTGCCTAGCCACTTCAGCAGAAGATCCATCTCCTCACTGGATGTCAAATGTAAACCATGGATGGCAGACTGAAATGATCGTTTCCAAGCCCTGTAGTTCTGAGGTTTATCATTAAACTTGAGTAAACCCGTAGACACCAGTTCCCGTCGAGCCAGATAGCGAACGAAGTCATTCACGTTCAAATCATCAAATTTAGGATTTCAAAGTGATAAATGAGGGGGATGATCACTGACGTTCACTTGTGGCGTGGAGGGTCGTATTGGAGTAAAATGATCATGCTCTGGTTGTACTGTGCTTTTCTCATAAGTGAGTTGCTGCTGTGGAGTCTGGCAAAATAACTGGGATCCAGAATTATCTTTCTTTGGAATGAAGGGCTTAGCGTCTGGCATAAGATTTACAGGGATAGGTGAAGGATCAGCATCTGGCTGTGGCTTTGAGGGAAGCGTGAGTTGTTTATCTGCATCCAACTGTTGACCTTGGTTGAGAACATACTCTTTCGTTCGTTTGGTGGCTTCTAAGGAAGATATTTCCCAGTTAAGCTGATTACCTGATGGATTTTTCTTCAAATCAGCAGCTGCTTCAAGTGCTTCAGCTTCAGCGACAGCTGCAGCTGTTTCCTTCTTTATGCTCAGAATGTCTATTGATGCTTCCAATTTAGCCTTTTGCAGTTTTAAGTTAGCCTCCTCTTCGGCAAAAGCGAGGCGTGCTTTTGCTGCTTCCGCTTTTGCTCTTGCTTTAGCAGCAGCAGACTCTGTAGTAGAGCCTCTTGACTGTACTGAAGAACATGAAGCTTGAGATCGTGTCTCCCACGTTGCAGCTTCCTCTGTCATAATTACTTGTTTTCTTGTTGTGATTTAGAGACGTGAACGTTGTAATAATAATTCACTGGCTGGGTACGGTGCGTTTTCAAGTCTTCCAGCTGGAACTGCGATGTCTAGCCCGTAGAGAAGCTGTAGTTTCACTATACTGCCTTTGCCATATGAAATGCAACTAGACAGTAAAGCTAAACTCTTCCTTATATCAAGACTCTGAGGAAAGTTGACCTTTTATCCACAGGTTATTGACTCCAAGGAAGTGTGAAACTAAAATACAAACAAAAAGGAATACATCACTTTCACCGTCTTTGTAAACATGTACATATAAGTTTAACGTAGCTAAATTAAATACTGTCCCAAATGAATTAGCAAAGTTGTGCAAACTTACAATAAACATCCAAAAATATTTTCATCCATTTCAACAACCAGAAATAATATAAAAATAATGATGCACAACAATATATTAAACTCAACGTACCTACAATGCTTCGTCAGGGCAAAGATGAATGCAGATGGAACTGGATTGATTGAACACACGGGTGACATGAATCTAACTCTGTCTGGCTTTCTGGCTGAAGCCACATGACATGCAGCTGGCTGCACCACTCAAAGGGACCGACCCCCACACATAGACACACCCACAAAAATCCCCAACAACACAGTAGTTCCAAAAGGTCACCATGTCACTCAACTGCTAATTGCTCATTTCCGCAATAAAGTGCAACATCAAGGGAAAGGACTGACAATTAATGAGATCAGATCAAATGGAATTTGGATTCCAGTCATCAACAAAGCTGTAGCAAAGTTTATACACCAATGTGTAAAGTGTCGCAGACTCAGAAAAGGAATAGTACAACAGAAAATGTCTGATCTACCAACAACACGTTTAGAGCCATCGCCACCGTTTACATTCTATGGAATGGATTGTTTTGATCCTTTTATAACCAAACAAGCTCGAAAGGTGCATAAACGTTATGGACTACTTCTTACTTGTCTATGTTACAGAGCGATACATATAGAAATGCTAGACAACTTGACTACAGACGCGTTTATCAACGCGCTCCGTTGTTTTACAGCCATAAGAGGAACAGTCAGCGAGATAAGGTGTGATCAAGGAAGCAACTTCGTTAGAGCTAAAACTGAACTGCAGAAAGCTTTAAAACAACTGGACTCTAACCGCATTACCACATTTCTGGCAGAGAAGCAGTGTGATTTCAAGATGCATACTCCTCATTCAAGCCACACTGGAGGCGTATGGGAAAGACAAATCAGAACTGTTTGAAATATTCTACGCTCAACAGGATGGACGATGCATCTTTAAGGACATTCTTTTATGAAGCAATGTTGATTGTGAACAGCAGACCTCTTACAGTGGATAACCTCAGTGACCCAAACAGTCCCGATCCATTGACTCCAAATCACCTGCTCACTATGAAGTCAAAGGTAGCCCTGCCTCCTCCAGGTAAATTTATCAAAGACGACATTTATGCACGGAAAAGGTGGCGGTGGGTGCAATATCTAGCAGAGCAGTTTTGGTCACGTTGGAAAAGGGAGTATCTATCCAACATCGCAACAAGGCAGAAATGGCACACTCCAAGAAGAAACTTGAAGGTCGGAGATGTTGTCATGGAGAAGATGGATGACTTACCTCATAATGAATGGAGATTAGCACGTGTGATAAGTACAGTAACTGATAAGGACTGACTTGTAAGAAAAGTGAAGATTCGTTTTGGAGAACGGAAGATGGAGAAAGAACAATGTTCCAGCAAAGCTTCTATAGTGGAACGTCCAGTTCTACTATTAGAGACTGTTTAACTCTAAAAAAAGTCATTATCACTCCACTTGTTAAGTTCTAATGATTTGGTGGGAGTGTAAATAACTTTGTTGATGCATGTATGTAATTGATTTTTTGTTTGTTTTGTTGTTTGATGTTTTGATTTAAATCCATCCCTAGCAAGCTGGGTCCATGCTTTATCAGTCTATATGTCATAGAATCTGTCATCAGTCCAACAGCTGTCTGTCTCTGAGTCCATCCCACGTTCCACATCT